CTGCTTTCCCAGTCTTGAAATTGTACTGGGTCTTGCAGATTATGTCGATGGTTCTGCATCTACCTTTTCCTTGCTCTTCCTTCCCCTGAGCCTTGTTTTCGGCTTGATTCTAACCTCACTTTCCTTGGCCCTTCTTTGGTCTAGGCCTTGAGCGGCCCTGGGCTGCCACTGCCCTGCGGTGCCCACTCAGTCCCACTCCAGTGTGTGTGTGTGATTGGACCCTGCCGGTTCTCAGCCCTGCCTAACCTGCTTCGCCCCCTCCCTTCTTACCAGTTGGGAACGCTGAGCAGTTCTGTTTTCCCTTTTGGACTATCTCTTCTTTTTTCCAGATTTTTTTCTCCTCACATCTCAGGGTGTCTTTGCCTTGAAGGAGTTTTGTTTCTCTGACAAGACTGCATATTACACTCACGCATATCCTTATTTCAAGATTGTAATGTTATTGCTCTAATAACTTCCTTTTGCATACCTCACCACCACGCTCTTATCTACTCAGTTTGCCAAACTGTGTGTGTCTGTGTGTGCGCGTGTCTGTGTGTATGTGTGCGTGCGTGTGTGTCTTGTGTCTGTGCGTGCGTGTGTCTTGTGTCTGTGTGCGTGCACGCTCGCGCGTCCACGCACAGCTCGCCTGTGGCGTTCCTGTGCTCCTCCCTCTTTCGTTCTGAAGGAGAGGTTTGGGCCCCTGACATTCTCCTGTTTGACTCCATCCACTCCCCGACGTCCCTTCCCCTCCAGCTTCCCAGTGAGCTCTCGCTTACCAAGTCCTTGCTGACTTACCGGAGAGTCAGCGTTTTGACCACTCCTCGTATTTGTTCACGTACATGCAGCGTCGACATTATTAATGGCGGCCTTTTTCCCTCCCGTCTTCCGGTCTCAGCACAGCCAGTACTTCCGCTGTTGTGTCCATGCAGATGAGTCCCAAATGTTGGTCTCTGGCTGGTTCTTGCCATTTTACAGACCATATTTCTCAACACTTCTAGAGTGTTCCTTCCAGCGTCAGTCTCAGAGTGCCCAATTTGAAGTCCTGTTTTCCTTCTTAACCCGCCTCCGCTCGCGCTCTCCTACTCGGGGCCGGTGGGTGTCCGCACGCACGCGTGCACACGTCACACGCGCATGCGCACGCATACATTCCCGCCTCTGTGCCCCCGGGCCTTCTCTGGGTCTCCGGCACCGCCCTGACCGTGTCTTCCAGGCCAGAAGCCCGCTTACACTTTACTCCTTTACCACATTCAGTTCGTGGCTGAATCAATGTGTATTTGGTTTTCATAACATTTCTTGTCTACATTTTCTCTTTTCAAGTTTACACTACTTCAGTCCTACTTCAGTACCTCATTGCCTATGACTTACTGCCCTAAGGGGTTTCAGAAAGCTAAATGTTTTTCTCAGCACCTAGATTATGTCTCTCCTCTGGTCTGAAATCCGTGGAGTCCCCCAGGCCGGTAGAAGTACATCAGACGTTGATGGGAAGCTTTTGTCACGTGATGCCAATGTACTTTTCAGTCCTGTTCCTCACGAGCTCTGTACCTGTGCTCCACAGACCTTACGGGCCCGTACTCTGACCTGGTTTCTCTGTCTTTGCCCCCTTGGTATGCTACCTCCCTCCCTCTTGGCCTCTCTCCAGGCTCCTCTTTATCCTGAAGCTTTCACCAATCACATATGAGTGACTGAAAAAAATCTTTAAGGGATGCCTGGAGGGCTCAGTCGGTTAAGCATCTGCCTTCGCTGGGCTCAGGTCATGATCCCGGGGTGCTGGGATCGAGTCCTGCGTGGGGCTCTCTGCTCAGCGGGAGCCTGCTTCTCCCGCTGCCTGTTCCCCCTGCTTACGTTCTCTCGCTCTTTCTGACAAATAAATAAAATCTTTAAAAAAAATATCTTTAAGTATGAGTAATTCTTTTATATTTTGAGAATATTTTATATCTCTTCTAGAACATTTTACCATACACTATGGTCATTTAAGTTTATTTTATTGCCTCATTAATCTCTAACCTACAGGCTTATCATTTTAGATTACTATATTAATATATATTAAATAGAAAAAGGACTGAACAAGACATTATAAGGTCTCGCTACCTAGCTATGTGACTTTGAGCAAGTCATTTTACCTCGGTGTGCCTTAGTTAAATTAATTTGTGGGAGTCAAGTGAGCCAATAATATATATATAATGTAAAATTTCCGGTCGGGCTCAATAAAGGCTTTCTGTCCAGTAGGTTTATCATTTACTTAAAATGTTTCCAGAATGTAATACAGCAAAATCTCCATTATGTCAGCCACCACCATAATGGCCCTCAAGGAGAAGCTGGTTCAGATGGCGAGGTAGATTACTGGTAGTACCAAGTATAAGTTCAGGAGATCTGGAAATGAAACACGGCAAAGCAAAGACTAAAATAGAGACTAGATATTGACCAAGAAGAATTAACTTACTTAACTACCACTTTCCTCTGGGGCTCTGGGTTTGTCTGTAGTTTCCTGGAGGCAGAGTTAGATCTCCGTACAGTGGGCTCAAGCTCCAGCAGTTCATTATGAGTAGCTGTTTTTTGGCACTCTCGATTGAAATTGTAATTGGTCTCCATATTGTTATTATAAAATTGGTTTTATAATAATGACCCAGGGTTTGGGGATAGTGAGCACCCTCCTCACTGTTTAGAGTTGAAGACCACTTGGTCAGAGATGGTAGATCATTCCCCACATGGATTGGAGGAGCTCATGGGCTCGGATTTAGGATCGTGAAGTGCCTTCCAATCATCCAAGAAGGGCCGGCTTCTATTTGTTGTGACAGTAAGGGTGTCCTGTGTTATTCTAAGCCTTAGAAAATCAATAGACCGTGTGTTAATAAACACATACAGGAAAGAATGGGCTGTTGTTGTTTTCTCACCTCACTTCACCCCTTCTCTAAGCTTCCATTGCCACCACTCCATGGAAAATACGAGTCCAGGTAATACATGACCTCTGTTTAGCCAGGTGGTCACTTCTCAGTTCTGGATCTTTCTGTGTCTTCCATTGAGCATATCTGACCAGTTCCTTCTTGAGATGTTTTCTTCTCAGGGCCTCTGTGTCACCCCAGTCTCCTTGTTTTTCTGCTTCCTCCTTGGCTGTTCTCTTTCAAGAGCTGGAAGATAAAAGCTGGAAGATGCAGGATGTGGAATGGATCTAGAAAATGTGTTTAGGGCAGTTGAGCTGCTCCTGGTACATTCCTCAGTGAGAAGATCTTTTTCTTAACTTTTCTTCCATATTAGTGATGGGCATTTCTTATATATCTGTCACAAAGCTGATTTTTTTAGACTTTCATTATAACTTTTTATTTTAATGCTATTTTTCTGTCTATCTTCTTACTGACTTAATAGATTCTAGTAATTGTTCTCAGTGAATACCACAGGGTGATTCTGTGGAACTTTGGACTTAATAAAATTGGATGAGCTCCAATAGCAAAGAAGAAAGTATTAACTAATTTAATCGACAAAAGAATGTTTCCCAGCCTGGTATACTATTCAGCTTTGTGTTATAAGTTTGTGAATAAATTGAGCTGCTTCTACCCTAGGGACTTCAGTCAGATATGTGGTTGTGGGAATCTTTTTCTTTCCCACACCGCTTCACATTTTAAAAATTCTTCTGCAGGAAGATCCCAACGTACTATAGCTGTTCTTCCTTATGCAGCTAATTTTCCCTGGAGAGAGGCAGGAGAAGATCCAAATCAAGTTTTGTCTAGTCTATTTTCATGTCACTTCAGGAAGCTACTCTTTTCTGTTAAATTGTCAGTAAATATTCTAATCAAGCGAAAGGGAGGCAGTGAGAAATAGGAAAGGGGGGAGAATAAATTCTAAACATTAGTGGAACACTCATGGATTTGATTGATTATCCAGTATAAAGTGCAGTGCTTTCTCAAGTACAGTGTATACAATGTGTATGTGTGTGTGTGTGTGTGTATTTCAAATATACCCAAGAGAATGGAAGTCCTGTGTTCATACAGCAACTTGTTTAGCATTCACATACATTTTATATGAATGTTCAGAGCAGCATTATTTATAGTAGCCAAAGGTTAAAAACAACTCACATGTTTATCATCTGATCAATAGATAAACGAAATGTGGTAGATCCATACAGTGGAGTATTACTCAGCCACAAAAAGTACTAAATTTCTGATACCTGCCTCACTATGGATGAGCCTCAAAAACGCTGTGCTAAGTGAAAGAAGCCAGACACAAAAGTCCACAACACTGATTCCATTCATGTGAAATGTCTAGAACAGGCAGATCCAGGGAAGGAGAATGCTCAGTGTCTGCAGAAGGTCTAGGGTGTCTGTCTGGAGAGACGGAAATGGTCTGGAATTTGATAGTGGGGATGGTTGCACAGCTTTGTGAATCTACTAAAAACCACTGAGTTGCACAGTTTGAAATGATGAATTTAATGGTATGCAAATTGAATCTCAGTTTAATTAAAAACAACAACAACAGTTTTCTAATTATCAAGCCCAGTGTTCCACATGAGCTAGACCACAGCAGCTCTTCCTTCAGGCACTCGACACAGCAGGGGTCATTCAGGTGCTCCTTCACTCCCGCGTCCCTATTTGAATAGAAATAAAATTAAATCGTGGATAGGAGTCAGAATTATAAATCGTACTCCTAAATCGGAAGTGACCACGGGCAGGGTGTTGCTACCTTTATTCTGTGGCCAGAGATAAGGATGGTAGTACCTGCCTGTGTCAGGGGTTACCAGATTGACAGGTTTCTGATAAGTCATAAGCTTCCTGAGGGCCAGTGTTCTGACAGTTTTCCCCAGCATCTTGTACCTGTAGAAGTTTAATAAATATGTGTTAAATGAATGTTGATTTAAATACATCAAGTCATAAGAGTGCTTTCTAAACCTCAAGCCCTGTCTGTGTATATGAGATTATGGCTTTAATATATTCTGGTCTATTCCTGGAAATTTAAAGACAACTTGGATATTATATTGTGCTGAGGTGTTTTGTAATTAACTTATGGCCACACTGAATCAACTTCTCTTTTAGGCTTTGCAGTATTGAAACATGTGCTGACACCAAGAATAAAGGCAACGCATGTTGCTTTTGATTCTATGAAGAATTATTTAGATGCAATTTATGATGTGACAGTGGCTTTTGAAGGGACTATTGATGATAAAGGGCAGCGGAAAGAAGCACCGTCCATGGCTGGTGAGTTTATATTTTCAATTATGTCATATATTTGTGAGTGTGTAATTATTCTCTTTAATGGGTACGTGTACTTCATAACATTTACTTGATATATTTCCTAGGTAGATACTTTATCTATTTTCCAGGTATTTATTAATCCATAACAATTTGAATTTCATGAGTCCTGCTAATTTTGGTACTTCCTGGTTGCCATATTAGTCCTTTGGACTTGCCCGATATCATTAACTCAGCCTCTTTCTACCCAGAGTTCACACATAAGAATGGAAGGCTACATAAATCAAAGGAAGGGAATGTGGAGGAGAGCGCTAACCTAGTGGTACTGAGGTATACTGATGGCCAGCATTCACCTTTATATGGATTTTTATATAATACTTGTGAAATTTAGTATCTTTGGCAAGAGGAAACAGTTAAATATGACTCTTTGTTTTTTCAAACCTGTGCTGGGTTTTTGTTTTGTTTTGTTTTGTTCCGTGCCCAGCGTGGAGCCCAACAAAGGGCCTGAACCCACGACCCTGAGATTGAGACCTGAGCTGAGATCAAGAGTCGGACACTTAACTGAGCCACCCAGGCGCCCCTATAAAGACTTTTTAGGTATTGCCTCTGCGTATGTCAGATATAACAAGAAAAAATAGAATTTTAAGTGAGCAGAATATTTTGGTTAAACATAACTAAAGACACTCTTGACGGATAGAGAAATTTAAATACGGGATTAGGCCAACAAGGAAGTGCAGAGTGTTGCCATCACCTTTCTGAAGTGTCCATTCGAGCTGTGATCGAGAGATAGAACACGAGCTTTTTATGTCACATTGGTGGCTGTTGAAGGTCGAAATACCACGCCTGTCAGAGTGTGTGTGTCAGTGGGACCTCTTGAAGGCTGGTGTTCAGAATATTGTCCAGAAGACAGAGTAGCTCCCTGGAGCAGGAAGTAGGGAGAGAGGACCAAGGGATGAAGCACTAATGGGGGGGGTGAATGTGGTGAAAATCGGTCATAGTGGCTGGAAATACAAATCTGAAGTAGTGGAGCACCTGGGTGGCTCAGTCGTTAAGCATCTGCCTTCTGCTCAGGTCATGGTCCCAGGGTCCTGGGATCGAGCCCCGCGTCGGGCTCCCTGCTCGGCAGGAAGCCTGCTTCTCCCTCCCCCACTCCCCCTGCTTGCGTTCCTTCTCTCGCTGTGTCTCTGTCAAATAAATAAAAATCTTAAAAAAAAAAAAAAACTGAAGTAGTAAGACTGATTACTCTCACAATTGCCTTTGACACAGAGCAGTTGTCACGTTGGAAGCTGAAGATTTTTTTCACTTTAAATGGAATTTTTTGGAATATATTATACATCAAACAGTTTAAAAACCACAATTCTATAAAGTGTACAGTGAAACGGCTTGTTTTCCACCACGTCCCCCTCCCCTCGGGGTCCAACTTCCCCTGCCCAGAGGTAACCACTTTTCTTAATTGTCTGTGTATCATATGTGCAAAATTAAGTCTACATTCTTACTCTAGAAATCCTTCCCTTGTTATCAAAAAAGGCAATGTATTAATATTTTTCCTTCCTTTTTTTTAACCATCAAAGGAGTCATTGACCTATTTTTACATTTGAAAACACATGCATTTAGTTGTTCAACAATATTATCACTAGTTTATCATTGTTTAAAAAATGAGATTTATTGAACATGTTTTAATTGTTTATAAGAAACAGATATAATTCCCATAATAACCTTTGCAGAGTGCTTTCGTTATGCCACGTCCTGGTCGGAAGAGCTCCTGGCTTCGGCGGTGCTCACAGGCCAGGCCCCAGCCTCTTCAGCCTGCCCTCTGAGGACTCTGTACCCCAGCTGTCCCTCTCTTGCCCTCCCTTGCCTTCTGGAATGGAAGGCTGTGTGTAGGCCTGGCCGCCTTTCCAAGTGAAACCCCTCCCTTCTGTTGCCCTCCCCCAGCTTTGCTGTTCCCACAACATTCCTCTTCCCTAGCTCATTTGCTTTCTCTTGCTTTGGCCCTCCTGGTGGTACTAAGTGCTTAAGCCACAAGGTTAGCACTCAGCATATGGTAATTCTTTGCCTTCCCCCAACAGAGTGAGAAGCCTGGAGGAAGAAAACCATTTTAGAGTTGCTGTTGTCTAGATTCCAACCCAGCCCCCCACCACTGCTCTGCTTCCTCTACTGCATACACATTAGCTGACAGTGGCTTTGTGTTGTACTTACAAACTGCCTCTCTTGGAGAAGTTTGGCTTTTCTAACTATCACACCCAGAAGCCATGTGGAAAATAAATCTGTCATTTCAATCAATTAAGGGTGAATATTTCCACAAGGAAAAAGACACCAGAGTAAAATCAAAGGACGGAAGACAAACTAGGAGATATTTGCAACTTAGATCACAGAAAAAAAGCCGGATTTCCTTGACATATAAAGTGCTTCTACAAATTGATGAGAAAATGATCAATAATAACTCAGTAGTAGCTCACAGAAAAAAATGCTCCATCTCATTCATAATAAGAAAAGTGCAAATTAAAATTTTTAGCAAGATACCATGTTTTACTATCAGATTGGTAAAAATCCCAGTTTCGAGTTCGGGTAACAGGCCCGTGGGTGAAATTCAAGTACAAAAGTCACGTCCGTACTTTGCCATTAGGGGTGCAGGGCTGTACAGCCTCCATGGAAGCCGCCCTGGCGGGGTCTACCAGCTCCACAAATGCATGTACATCACCACTGCTGAGAAGTTCTTCTACCAATATACCTGTGCACATGAGATGCGACAACCGGTTTTCAGTATTTACAAGTTGATTTTAATCGTGAGGTTGGGACCTGTAGCTTGAGAATCCCCATTCTCATTATTATATAAATTGATTGCTATTCTGCTCTACTTTATTCTGGTGTAGATTAAGATGCACTTTAAATTTATGATGTAAGTTGAGTTAGGTATAAAATTCCATAACTTAGAATGTCATAAGTACTTGGTGGTTGAGTGTAATTAGTATTAAATATTATCTACATACATAGTGGACTATCATTCAATACTCGTATTTGATAGCCCAATTAAAAAACATTTCCATAGTTGCTAGATTGTGCATTTATATGCCACAGGACCGTCTTTCTCAAAGCGTTCTAGGAGTATTACAGTTCCCTCAGAGTCACCTGGGATGATTGTTGACTGTGCAGGGCCTCAGCTCGCTCTAGACTACTAGCATGGATTGGCTGCAGGTGGGGGCAGAAGCTGCGGAGGGGGGAGGGGTTTGTGAATGAACTCTCGAACTCTTGTGATCACGAGACTTACAGTTTGGGCCTTAATAATGAGGCCTCATCTTAGAGAGCTAGGTAGCAGGTAGTGTCCCTTGTGCTTCCCATTTCGTGGTGTCTTTTGCTATAAGGTGAATAGTGATCAAAGCCCACCTGGGCATGCACTTTGTGGTTCATCTGGTCTTGTCATCAGGGTCTTTGTCTTCTCTGGACGGTGTCCATTGGGCAGAGGAGAGACAGGCCAGTCTGATTATAGACTTATTTAAATTCCATTTCTACAGTGGGTGGTATACTGTAATAAATTGTAAAGTTAAGGATAACATTTGATGTTCTGTTTAACCATTTAATATGGTGCTAGGTTACTTTTTCCTGTTTAATATTTTCTTACATGAAAAGAAAACTTACTTGGAGGGGAAAATTACAGGTAACCCAAAAGAAGAAGGAAGAAAACTCCATAGGCTCACCTGTCCAGATGCATTTAACAATTTGGATATTTTCCTCAAAATCTTCCTTTTTATAATGTCACTGTGTTGGAGTATGTTTGTGCCTTTGGATATTTTTAGATGAGGTCATTTGTGTATATTATTTTCTTTTATATCCTGCTTTTAATCATAAATATCTTTATATGTCAGTATATACACTTCTGTCATGTTTTAAAAATGCTACATAACGTCCATATATGTGACTATACAATGGTTTATCTACCCAGTTTTCTACTCCTGGATTTATTTCATTTTTTTCCTCCCAGAGGGAAAGGGGGCGGGTTATAAGGCAGCAGCGTGGGAGCTGGCTGAGGTGCCAGGGTGGAAGTTGTCCCAGTTCAGTACATGCACGTTCTCTGCTCCCACTCTCCGAGCTCTGCTCTTTCCTGTTTCCATCTGGCCTGGCTCCCCAGGCACAGAGCAAATGGAACTTAGTTTCTCCAGAGACTAGTCCTGTGACAAGTATGAATACTTGAAAGACTCCTATTACCCTGGCATATATATACTCTAGGGCTCTACTAGGGAAGTTCTAATTAGAAAAAAATTATACCTTGGGGCTCCTGGGTGGCGGGTCTGGAATCGAGCCCCGTATGGGACTCCCTGCTGAGCCCCTGCTCATGCTCTCCCTCGCTCCCTCTCTCTCTCTCAAATAAATAAATCTTTTAAAAAAATTATACTTAATTAGAATACTTTTTCTGTATATTTCTAAATATTTGTTCATGCATTAGGAAATAAGCTCCAATGAACATAGTTTTTACAAATATAGATACACGAAGCTTTATTAAATACTGAAGAAAACCTTTATGTCACTTCTTTTTTTTAAATTTTATTTATTTATTTGAGAAAGAGAGCACAAGCAGGGGGAGGGGCAAAGGGAGAAGCAGGCTCCCCGCTGAGTAGGGAGCCCGATGCGGGACTTGATCCCAGGACCCTGGGACCATGACCGAAGCCAAAGGCAGACGCCTAACCGACTGAGCCACCCAGGCGTCCCCCTTTATGTCACTTCTTTCTTGTCTCCTGAAAGTCGTTTAGTGTTTATCTGATGATTCACTCATGGTTTTCATTTGGGTCCTCACCCCAGAGACTGGGCTGATGGGGCTCCACCACCATCCGCGCTGGCTCTTGGTCCTCTCCAAGCCCTACGAGGGTAGTAGCACTTGCCTACAGGGGCTCCTGGAGGTCGGATGAAATAGTGTACACAAAACTGTGTTGTAAACCAGGATACCATGTAAATTTTACTGCCATATGGATTTGGGAGTCCTTCTCAGTGTCCGTGCCTCTTCCCTCCTCAGCTGATGTCTCATGAAACACACTGCTGTCACTTCCCAGGCACCGCGGTTTCAAGTTCAAGTCTGCTCCCGTTTACCTCCTCACAGCCTGTGGCCGTGGCCACGTCCCTGCGGCACCAGCTGGCTTGCTGTTTAATTAGGCGATGTTGAGCAGGGCATGTAGATAATTAGATGAAAGTAGGAGAATTGGTGTTGGGATCTGCATTTTTATGATCAGAAATACAAACGAGAGGGTGAGACGAGAAGTTACATGCGGCCAGAATGTTGGGACCGCCGCCCCGTAGGGCGTCCGGTGTGCTGGCGCTGCTCTCAGAGCTCGGAGTCCGGGCCCCGCGCAGCGCCCCTGTCTCTGCCTTGCAGACTGGGGGCCGGCACCGAGAGCGAGCCCGTCTTCCCAGGGCTGAGCAGGGATCGAGGCCCAGGCTGCCTGACGCACTGTCCGTGCTCTGAACCTCCGCATGGTTCTGCTGCTAAAATCCTTCTTCTGCAGTTCCTCGGCTCTGTAACCGACAACGGAACTTGAGAAAACTAAGACAAAAATTCTGGAGTCCAGTCTTCCCCCTGTGCTTTTTGTGCCTTTATCATCAAAGCCAATTTCCTCCTGAAAGTATATAATGGTGAGATAATTTTGATGATGGAAAGGCCGCATGTTATTAAGGCTTGGCGCCAGTGGTAAAGAAGGACAATTGTAGAGAATACCTAACAAAAAACAAACATGTGCAGAGTCCAAAGACTAGAGACTTCTTGAAGCTGAAACTCTTCCTTCAACCACAGAGCACGTGAGTCACCACTTCTTGGAACACTGTCTTTGAACACATTTCAACTTGAGATAACCGGTCTCAGCCTCCTCCTTGCATTCCCACCTAGGGAACATAGTGTCCTCTTAAATCTCTTAGGAACATCTTGTTCTCCAGGGACTTTAAATCTGTTCATAATCTCACCTTTTCACCAAAAGCCATCCACAAGAAGGAGAATTTCCAAGCTCAGAGTTCTTTCTTGTCTTGGAATAAATCCTGGCCTCATTGCTTGTGCAACCCAGGCTGAAAGAGGACTGCCTGCTTTGTTCAAATTAGCCTGTCTTAGGAACTGTAGTCACTTAAAAGCTCATAGCTATTCCACAGAAGGAATTTTGGTTCCTAAACCAAATATGATATGTGAAAATACGGCGAAGGCCAGGAGAGCCGGGAGTACCACTGAGTAGAAACCAATAGCAAGTCCTAGAGGAGTGGAGGTCTCTTTCCCACGTCTGTGCTGGGTGTGTGACACTCCATGCCAGGCTGATGTGCCCGGCGAAGGCACTAGGGATTCAGGGGGTTAAGTGCTTCATGCTCCCAGGGCTCTGGCAGAGTGAACCCGACAGATTTCATGTGCGCCCTTCGGGGACTCATGGCCTCGTGGGAACAGAAGTGACAGTGCGTGATGAGTGATATGCTTGGAAACAGCGGACTAGTCTCCTGCAGGTGATTCGTGAGCCTGAGGGTGGCTGGCATTTGGGCACCCTTCAGAGGGTGGGTGTGGACTTGCAGTGGAGTCCAGCTTCTACTCCTCGGTCGCCTGTGGAATTGAAGGTTATTTTCTGAAAAGTAACATTTGGTACTATCCATTTAGCTTAGTGACTTCAGGTAATTGTGGTAGACTGGGAAATTATAACACACTCTTCTACTTCAGCTTGAAACCTAAAACCATCAGTGTAGAATTCTTATTTTCTCTTAACTTTTTTCTTTTTTGCTGAAGAATCTGCTTTTTCATCATTTAAAAATATTTTTTACCTCATTTTCAGTTGTTTTCTATAACCGTGAATTGTAAAATAACAAAAAATGAAATTTTTTTGTTTCTTGTTAGAATTTCTCTGCAAAGAATGTCCAAAAATTCATATTCACATTGATCGTATAGACAAAAAAGATGTCCCAGAAGAACAAGCATTTATGAGAAGATGGCTTCATGAGCGTTTTGAAATTAAAGATAAGTGAGTAACAGCAGTTCTCCTACTTCAAAAACTTGGATTCAGCTACATTGCACTGTAGTAAATAAAAAATTTGAAACTAATGTAATACTTTTTTGTAAACTCAGGTCCAGTCTGTTCATGTTTTAAACCTTACTGTTACATTGTCTGTGAAAGAACTTGTTAGAGGAGGCCTCCCTCTTTTCATTCACAGTATTTCCTAGAGGGCACTCTGAGGTGGGATGTAAAATTAGAAAACACCCCCCCCCCCCCGCAGCTTTCCACTGTGAGATGCCCCATGTGTGCATTCCCGGGTCAGACAAAGAGGTGGTATGTTTGAGAACTAGCTGGCATGCCCACGATGCCCAGAAAACGAAGCTGTGGGATAGAGCATTGTGTCTGCTGTATGTGTGGAAAAGGCATGGGTATATTTGTTGGAAGAAGAAGGGGCAGGTGACATTCTGACCACAATGTCTTTTGCTGTTAGTATTTTGGGGCCTAAACAGTTTCGGGGATTGACCTTGTGTTCATCCGTGCTAATCACATTGCTTCAGAGCAAACAACAGTGTTGACCCTTGCTGAGCGTTGCCTGTCAGTAAGTTACAGGTGTCTTTAGATACCTCCTGGGTGAGGCACAGCTTAGTGAGGTCGAACTGAGGGAGGGAATGTGAAGTGCCACTTACTGACGGGCGAACCCGGGGGGAGAAGGTGCCCTCCATAGCGGATAACAGGCCCCCTTGGATTTCATACAGTTTTCTAAAGGAAAAAAATTTAGGATTTTCTTCTCTTTTTAGGAAGATAAAAAGTGGATGTCAGGTTTTGATATGATACTTAGAAACTGAATTCTCTTGGATGAAAACTTCAGGGCATATTATTTACTGTTTGTTTGCTGTCAATGGGAGTTTTATCCTTTCTGATGCATATCCTGTTTTTTGAAAGATATGTTTTAAACCTCTCTATTTTTTATCTTCTTTTTGAAAAAAAAATAGACCCATTAATTATAGGATGCATCATTTACTAAAACCACATTGAAAAGTGTGGCGTTTTTACAGACTCAAAAGTAAGACTTCCAAAATTAGGTTTATGTTCAGAAATTTTACCTGTGTTTTATTCTCCTGATAACGCTTCTCAGCAGACTGCTCTGTTCCTTTCTTTGTTGTATTACAATAAAATTATTTCCTCATTAACCCTTTTGAGTTAACTTTAAAAAGTGAAAATTATTAGAAGTGTGCTGCATTGAAAATGAGACTCTCTGAAATTTATAGACAAGTAGCTACATTTCCCTATTTCACTGACCATCAGTTATACATGACATAATTTATTTCACCAACCATTCACTGCTACCCACTTGGGTTATGGAAGAAATTTCAAAAGTAAAATACATGAATCAGTTCTCAGAAAAGAAAAAAATGCCTGAACAATATGCTTAATATCCAGTGTATTTCGTGTTGTAGGTGCTAATACCTACTTAGAATGAGTCTGGACCTTTTAAAACAGTGGTTATGTCTAGGGAATGTGTTAAGGTAATGGAAGGATTTTCTGCTTTTGTACTTGTGTTTGAGAGTTTTATGCTCAGTCTGTCCTGCTGTTATAACTTTACATTTTTTAAATAAGATAGGAAAATGAATTAACTATGCTATTTTTTCATCCTTGTACCTATTTTTATAATCCCATGTGAGTGAGGGCTTTTGGGGGGGAAACTCCATATATGTTATAAGAACTGCTCATCTTCTCTTTGACTTCTGATGGAATGGGAGCCATAGGAAGGAGTAAAGATGGGGAAGGTGGGGACGAAGTGAGATGGGTTATTACCCACGTGTGAGCAAGTCTGGTTGTTGCAAAATTATTAAAAACCTAAAGTTTAAAAAAAATCTTCCCCACAAAATTACTTAAAACCATCTTTTTAAAAAATTACATATAATACAATCATCTGCACTAATCATGAGCATATAAAGATATTTTTAAAGTCTAGAAACTCCAACTAAATCAAGCCTCTAGGTATTTCCTCATTCATCTTTTTTTCCCAAGGACCTTATAGCTTTTCCAGCATGTAATAGGCATCCAGAGCTATTTATTAAATTAGACTATTAAGTGGCTAAATCTGAAACTTTAATTTTTTTTTTTTTTTTTTCCATTCTGGCCATAGGTTGCTTATAGAGTTTTATGATTCACTGGATCCAGAAAGAAGAAACAAATTTCCTGGGGAAAGTGTTAATTCTAAATTAAGTCTCAAGAAGACTTTACCATCATTATTGATCTTAAGTGGTTTGACTGCTGGTATGCTTATGACCGAGGCTGGAAGGAAACTCTATGTAAGAACGTGGATTTATGGAACCTTAATTGGCTGCTTGTGGGTTAGTATAAAAGCTTGAGCAGGTAGCTGTCTGCAGGCAGTGGGATGTACTCCGTGGTTCAGTGTTGGCAGCCACACCTTACGGCAAATTGTTTCCTGATTTTAATAAGAAGTGTAAATAAAGCCTTGTTGATTGAACATTGGATAAAATAGAATTTCTGATTAAAGCCGATATGCAGTTGGTCTTGGGCAAACATACATGGTTTTACAACTTTAGAACAGAAGCTGCTGGAAAGGGAAAAACTAAACAGTTTATGCTATACTTGGCATTTCCTATGAACTAATGTCATCTTCAGAAGACTCTTAGGATTGTATAATTTGTTATTGTTTTGTAATTCAGATGGCTGCGTTCATGAATAATTTGCAGTATATTTCACTGTATTTGTTATTTTTAATTTTTTACAACTTGACTAGTCCAACCTTTATCACTAAAATATTTAAGATCTTGGAGCTATGTAATATTTTGCTTTTTGCTTAATGTCTCCAAGGGAGTGAAAGAAATTGTATTTAAGTGTTTAAGAGGCAGACCAAGGAAAAGGGCAAGAAATTGTCCCTGGGGAGGAAGCTCTGGTTAGCGCATGCTTTTATTGTATTGCATTATTAGCTGATTTTACTTTATATTTGCAAAGTAATTAACATTTCTAATATTTATTGAAACAGCTTAATTTGCACACCCTGTATTGTATACAAAAGAATAATGTATAAAATATGAGAATTAAGTTTAAGTTAGAATTGTGACCCTGATTCATTATAGCAGAACTTTACATTGCCCGGCTTTTTGAAGAGTTATGCTAAGCTCTTAGTACTTCCCAGCATCTGTGCCGTAATTACTTGAAAACCTTCAGGTTTGCTATTATTTTTTATATCAAAATAATCAGTGTGAACCTTTATTGGACCCGAGTCCACAGATAATTTGAGGTGATGGGAGCCTTCAAACATCTGACTAGATTTACAAGCATGTGCCTTTGCCTGTTACTATTGAGTTTAGCACAACATTTAATTCAGAAGTCATTTTTTTTTTAATGTCATCACGGTTGATTTCCACTGGGTTTGGATTCTTTCCCTTTGGCTTACTGGCAGTGTGCTGCTCGGTGCCTGGTACCATACGTGCACAGGGAGGAACTGTAGCCGGCCAGGGTTTGTCGTGCTGCAGAGTTGTTCGTTTAAGCTCTTGTGAGCCAGCCTTGCTAGCTGCGGCAAAGGCGTTTTGCATTTGTCTCATGTCAAGAAGTTCACCTTCCACAAGCCAGGGAGATTTAATCCATCAAGCCTGAATGAATTTGTTTAGTTCTCATTGGTTTTAATGGGGCTACACAATTAAGCCATATCACCTCAAAACAAGAGCTGTGTTTCCGGAACCAAATTCAGTTTTCACACAATTCAGTTTTCAGTCATGAAATAATAAATCTATCCTGTGCAAGAGGACGACCTTTTTGGATCTGCTCTATTTTTATGTTACAACTTCAATTTGATTGCCTACCAGCCCTTTAAGATAACATTTCTGCTTAATGGATTTTTGTTGTAAAATTGTATCCATGCCCCAGATGAAACACACCAGCTGAATCATGACAAACAAAATGAAAATAATAAAGAAGGGAAATTTTGTCTAACCAATTCTCCAGACCCAGAGAGCAGGCCACGTCAGACGGCACCTTTGCACAGCTGGGTAGTGGGAGTTGTCCACGTACGTTAGTGTGAGTATGTGTGCACACGTCCCCACGGGACATGGCCGGCCTAACTGCACGGCGGTGTAGGTCACACTTCTGAAAAGTGTTCTCATGACAAATTGTCATTTTCTCTTTCTAGTAAAGTGAAGGTTAAATCAATCCCATGTCTTTGTTAATACTTTTTTTAACAACCCTAAAGTTAGAAGCTTTTTCTAATTAGATCAAAGTAAATGTAAGTTGTGCAACTTACCTTGAATATCATGGATATGTTCTAAATTTAAATTTTAAGAAGTAGTACCATTGGAATTATGTTGATTATAACTGATTTTAAGAAGTCACAGTGAACGGCATAAGATCACTTTGAACATCATGTTTTTATGAACATACTTATATTCTCACAGTTCTATAAAATATATTTGTTAGTTTAAAAATTTTGTATCAAAATATTTGGAAAATTAGCTTCTTTTTAACACGTGTTGATATGACTTGAATTATTATTTTCTAAAATTAAGAGCCCTGTATCTACCTGTAAATCTTTTCACATATCATTTAAGCCTTTGTGTTATTCTTATTATTATTGATTTGCAGCTTAGTTATTACTTAGTTTTTCTTTATAAGATTGCCATCAATGTGCATGCTTTTATGTTTTCCAGAAAAGGGTGTGTTTGGATGAAAGTAAAAGAAAAAATAAAATCTTTCACTGTCTCTAATGTCTGTGCTATTTAACATTTTGCGACCCAGAAATTCCCCAACGGTCTTCAGTTACATTGAATAGGCTTTATGGCTGGTCCTACATACTGAACTTATAAAATTATAATATTTTTTCTCAAATATTGAGCAAGTTTTTAAAAATACATTACAATACTCAAAATTGTGAAGCAATATATTAGTTTCATTATATAAACTCATCTATGTATCTTATACAATGTATATAGCAAGTATTAGTTGCTTGACAGTTCTGTGATCATTAGGGTACCTCACTGAGGCTTGTCCAGTGCCTAAGATTAGCCAGGTTGGTAAGTAAAGTACCAATCTGACTAAGCCCTGCATCGTACATACTAATGATTTCTTTCATGTCTTCCATTTCCATGTGATTTTGTTTCCTGTACAGTGATACCAATCTTCCTTTATATCCAGATGACGTAAGCTTTATTTTTCCTTTGTAATGTTACATGGTTTATTATTACGTTCACTGAATAGATCTGTGTCAATACGGTGATCTTTTAAATAGATGGACCATTATGAAAATACAGTATATATAAAATTTGCCCACCAGGTAGAGACACGAAGTAGCTGCCAGGTACCTATCAGACTCACATTTAAGAAGACCGAGAAATGTCTATCATAGTGATATTTCATGTGTACAGTTGCAAGTGCATAGTACATTTTGACCACAATAGTATTTGTTCTTAATGTATTAGATTGAAGAAAAGATTGTCTTGGTAGATATTCCAGGTACCACCTTGTAGTAAGTTACATATCTTTGTAAGTAGGATTTTTTGAGGGGAGAGGAAGGGGTTAGACTAGTTTGTTTTGTTTTGTTTTTAAGGTTTTATTTATTTATTTGACAGAGAGAGACACAGCGAGAGAGGGAACACAAGCAGGGGGAGTGGGAGAGGGAGAAGCAGGCTTCCCGCGGAGCAGGGAGCCTGATGTGGGGCTCGATCCCATGACCCGAGCTGAAGGCAGACACTTAATGACTGAGCCACCCAGGCACCCCTAGACTTGTTTTTTATTATGAGTTACACATACTTTTAAAGATTGGCTAATTTGGAATGTTGTGTTACTATTTAGTATTTTGGCATTATACACAGACTAATTTAACCTAACAGTCAAACATTAGAATGAAAATTAGTACTTAGTCAAACTGGTAATTTGGAAACATTCAGATATTTGATATTATATGGGTAAAATATCCATGTAATTGAATTTAAAAGTTCACTCAGATATTTTGAAGTACTAGATATACAATTACTGACTTATTTCAGTTTAGAGTAGTTATGACTCAACATTATCCCCAAGATTTCATTTGACCCCTTCTCCAATTTGTGGACAAGAAAGTAAATCTGTTGCTTTTACCAACTGGGGAGTTATTCTCAGTGTAGTCATGCATGAGATCAGATAAATACCTTACCCCCAGCAGGGGGAGGAGGGAGTTATTTTTCAGAAAGCCTCTCCAAATAGAAAGCTCAGTTACTTCTGTGTTAAAAAAAAATATCTGTTGAACAAACTCTCAGTAAATGTTTATTGATGGTCAGTTATTCCATCCAAATTATTAGTGGTTCATGATTTTATATGTGAATATGTAAGAAAGACCTATTCTGCTAATTTTATCTTTATTTTTATAAATCGTTGCACCTTAAAAAAAAAAAAAAAGATGCCACTGATGTTCTCTGTGTGTTCAGGAGGAAAGAATATTTGTCTTGTCTCCTTATGGTATGTTCAGAATAAATTCTGATTTATCTTGAGTTTATTGGTGCCTCATTAATCCAGCAAAAAAAAAAGGAAAATATAAATCTCAAAATTTACTTGGGGATACATGGTGATAAAATATCTATTGGGTGATAGTTATTTCACATATTTGTGATAATGGGTATGTATGTTTTATATATGTGTATGTTTTATTGCCAAATAATAGCTACAGGATACATTATTTTATGATTTTGTTTTTTTCTGATACTTGCTAAGGTTGGTTGGGTGCCTACTGTGTGCCAGGCAGTGTGCTAACCTCCTCGGCGTGTTGTCCCATCTCCTCACACGTGGACCCCGGGCCACAGTGTCGCTCAGCCTGGAGACTAACAGCTGCGGACCGACTGCCAGGTAGTGAGTCCTGGCGCTACCACTTGGGATTCCGCCTTGGACAAGTTCTTTAACGTTTCTGTTTCTACTTGATGTTTCTGTTTGAATGTTCTCACCTGTATGTTAGAGATGATAGCTGTATTTACCTCAAAGGGTTGTTGGTGACTCAGTAAGTTATCAAAGCACTGGATGTAGCACATGGAGTGTGGCAGGTGCTGAGTAAATCTTGTTCTTCAACTTCTCTTGCTCTCGGTTTTACAGAGGAGGAAATGGGAGACTCAGCGAGTTTGAATACAGTACCAAAGTCACACTAATACCCGTTCTTTTCTGCTTAACAAAGATGTAATGCAGTATTTCCTACTACCTCAGTGCCTTTAAAAGTAGATGGTCATAACTATAACTGTAGTCACTTAAAGATGTTTTGTTTAGGGCGCCTGGGTGGCTCGGTTGGTTAAGCGACTGCCTTCGGCTCCGGTCATGATCCTGGAGTCCCGGGATCGAGTCCCGCATCGGGCTCCCTGCTAAGCGGGGAGCCTGCTTCTTCCTCTGACCGTCCCCCCTTTCATGTACTCTCTCTCTCTCATTCTCACTCTCTCGAAATAAATAAATCTTTAAAAAAATAAAATAAAGATGTTTTGTTTAAAATCTAAAACAACACAGTTACAAAAGGAAAGATTCTCCATCTTTCATGAGAAAATGTCATGG